CAGAGACGTTTTGGATTGACTGGTAAAGCCGATGTCCTGAATATCCCCTACAGTTTTAATGAGACTGGTGTTTCTTATGTGTCAGCCATGCTATTGCAATAGCGTCCACGTCAAAAAACTACGCCTACCTACTGAATCCCGGTAGGTTTGTATAAGTTCACTAACTTCCTTCTTCAGCGAAAAAAGATGGACCCTGCTTCCTTAAAGTCCAATCAGTCACCTGAGATGGGAGACGACAAACATGGACGTTTCAATATTCTTAATTTCTTCCCATCATCCCTATAAACGTCTGGTAGCGGACCGTCAGGCTCCAAAGCTTTGTGTTGCTTCCGGATCGAAGCAGCCTCCACAACATCCAGACCGGTTGGCTGACCATCACCTACTTCCCATAAAGTTTCGCGGTGTCTGGACGTTGAACAACTAAGGTGACGCTGGGGGCTAGTTGGGCAGTTTTTTTACAGTTTTCTGCCCGATGTCCTGGCCGTTTGTTCCGTGAGGTTATTAGCTTCCCATCCTTTCCGGTAGTTGTTTCATCTATCATCCTTTCCTTTTTGCTAACTTTCTTAACAAGCCTAAATGGTCACCGACTGCTATCCAACGCCGACGGCTTCTCCGCTTCTGTCTCTTCAGCCGTCCATCACGGCATCAAATCCTTACGAAGACACCTGGTCCGTTTACGTTTGAGTTACTTTCGTTCTTCATTGCGACCACAGCCAGCTAGAATCTATCTCCTCGTCTCAGTCACTTTGAACGACGTAGTGGGAGTCCATCGATATTTGCTAACCCTCGAGTGCAGGTTACCGGCTTTTTACCACTGCTTCTACAGCAAACCTGAAAGCAAGCCAGATTACTTCAGGATGAGCATCTCTTTCATGTCCAGAGAAAATGCTTAGCCATCTCCGCCGTGCGGACTTGACGTTTTCATCTTCCGATCAGGCACAGGCCACTTTTACTGTATTCTGCTTTATTTGACCAGCAGACATGTACGAGCCTGAACTGGGGCACGATAGGATTACAAAGAGGTGTTCCAGAAAGAATAACAACCTTCCCCAATCCTCACCAACAATGGCTTATGGTAGTATGATCTACCTGTGTCCATTGTTACTTTAAAGTTGGTGGACAGCGTCTCTCCCCAGGCCCAAAGTTAGTGCCAGTCAGAAACAAGTGATTGTTGGAACAAAATTGGAGTAGGTGGTCACCGTTGTCGGTTTGTTTGCATAAGATTCCGTAGAAGCTTTCAAGACTCCCCTGATTAACTCAGCTAAGCTTCCCTACTTGAGCGCTAAAGTTACTCGTTCTTGTATCTGCATGTGAAAGTTTCGCCTTCTATAGAAAGGTTGTCAGCTCTTCATGCAATTCATACTTTTCATCGACCGGATTGCAGTCGGTGAATGCGTAGGTTGCAGCTATGAATGGGTCTCACCATCCTTGTTGGTCCTTACGGTTCCATCCAGTCCAGTGGCCCATCAACAGCCGTTGACTGGCATTCAGCCTAGAAGCTCAATTTCCACTCTAAACTGCATTGTATGTCTACTTTAGCGTGCGCGAGAGAGGCAACCATTGGGTCCCCAGGTCTCCGTAGAGTGAATTTCGAAGATTCACAGTAACGGTTAAATGAGGTTAGTCTAGTAACCACACTCGGGTCCTGTACACGTGTCTCAGTGACACGCTGTAAATCCTTGGTCAGAGCGATGACTCCCTTCTCATTCTCGAAGAGTTCGAACGGCGAAAACTCCTACACAAAACCGATGGTGGAGAACAGTAACGAGGTTTTCATAGTTTTGACTGTTTGCAATTGTGGCAGTATGAGAATGGGGAAGATGTAAGAGGCTACATATCGGTATCGGGAGGTGACGATGAGGGAGGAGATAAGGTTGATGTTGACAGATTACTCTTGATTGCGTTTGCGTGCTAACGAAAGCGTGAGGGCCTTGACGTTTTTCTGCCCCCTCATCCTAGAAGAGCGTAAAATGGGCCCACGACAGCTGTTAGCCCTGACACGGATATGAATGAAGGGGAAATGGGGTACAATTTTCTAATGAGGAAGGCTTGCTATATAACAAATAAATCGTGAAAATACACTGTATTTAAAAGGACTAATGCTCATCTTAGTGTTTCTTTCCCTTGATCAGATAACCTAAAAATGTCTGTTCCTTCCAGAAAGTTAGCTTCAAGCAATTTTGTGATGTTTTCATCTCTGCCTAGACTATTTATGACCGAAAAAGTCTGGTTCAGCATGAGTTAGCCAGCTTCGGGATTTCGCACCGTTGCGTTTCTCGTTTAAATCCAGCGGCACATTTCGTGTTTATGATTCTACTGAAATTCTCTATGCTTCGAACAACTCCTCCCTGTACCTTGAATTCCACTCAGTGAGTGGTTTTGAACTGAGCACGGGATTTATCCCGCCTGGCAATAAAGCAATGGTCTGGGCGGCGCACATGAAGATTTATTTCCCCCCTGTTGAGGTGCTAGTCTTGCAGTTCTGTTGCTGGCGATCTTCATTAACGTCGTTCACTAACATATAATAATGATATTTATCCCCGAATATTCAGGTACACGCCACCTTTATGGGTATGAACAAGTTATTATGTAAATTACATGTACATTTATGGTAGGTAATGTCAAACCGCACCCATTGTCACTAGAGGAGATAAGCGCTGCACGTTTATACAATTAAATATCCCAGCATAATAAGTATATAAAACTTACAAGTTTGACAGGGGGAAGTATTGTCTTCGCACTGACGGAAAATCAGGTTTGTATATAGACATTACATATATTACCTGGAGAAAAATGAAGCTTGAAGCTAATAATTCCATTTTAACAGTTTTTGCACTTTTTGCTTCGGAAAATGACGAAAGAGTTATGAGGGAATGTATGCACAGGTTGTTTATTTATTGTACTTCGTTGATGACTCAAGATTTGTGCAAACAATGCATGTTAACATCATCTCGCTACCG